ATCGTGTGAGGAAGGCTCAGCTACCCTACCCACACCGCACCTTACCCTACGATACGGGTATCATACCCCACCACTCCCATCCAGTCAAGTTATGATACAGTAGGACAAACGGCAACCCCGCCGCCTCTCACCTCGTGACAACTAGGGTACCGTACGATACGATATCGTACCGACTTTTTGTGCTCCCGCAGCAGATTGTGCTGCGTCCTTATCGCGCGCTTGGAAAGAAAGATAGAAAGAAAGAAAGACAGATAGACGAGTGAGTCCCCGTGACGATGATCATATCATAGTTGGGAAAGTGAGGGTTGGAAGTTTTGGTACTCGTATCATACGGTAATATCATACCGTAATAAGTGTATGTAACGGCGGCGGGTAACTTGGTCTACTCGTACCGTATCGCCCTCGCTTTTTGGTTTCGGTTGGTTTCCTGAAGGGGGTGGAATGGAGGTGGCGGTACTGTATTCGGTCTCACCTTACTTTTTGTTTTCCCTTTGGTGGTGGTGGTGGCGGGGGGGGGGAGGAGGGGGAGCTGAATGAAGCGCTAAATATAAAAAAAAGAGCCCGGCCAGGTGGGGCCTTTTTTTTTTCTTTCTTCTTCAAAAGGTGCGGATCTTGATAAGTTATCGGTTACCGTAGGCAACATATCGTACTGGACTGGACATAGTACTCGTACTTTGCCATCCTGAAAGTATTCCGACATCTTCAAAGCATTGTTAGTACTGTGCCTGTTTTGGCGCCAGGTGTCTGAATACTTTATACATAGTCAACTATAAGCGACAAGTAATCGTACCCGAGTATTGGACGTTGAATTTTGTACTCGTACCGGTATGAGCGCCCTGATGCGCACAGACAGAGGGTTGGCCATACATTTACGGCACCTGATCCCTATATTCGGGTACATGTACTTGTTGTCTGTAATAAGCACCGTACTAAGCCGCCGCCCCCATCGCTTACGATAAAACGGAAAGAGGTCTAGAGCTTCTACAGCGCCTCGACGTGGAAATTTAATTTTCTTCATTTCACCTTCTGAATCTTGGATGATTACGCTATGCATGAAAAGTTACTGGGTTTGCGTAGCTCATGGCGGTGGAGGAAAAACGACAAATGACATCTGAGTTTCTCAGCTCTCTCCGTTTCGCTGGAGCGAACTAACGTAAAGTAACGTAACGACTAGACTACCGGTGCCCATATTATTTGACAAAATTTTCAAACCCAACAGTTTCATCAAGGTACCTGGGTACTTTCTCCTCTCCAAGGGTGGATACCGTAAATGTAAAGAAAAGAAGAAAACGGTTAGGTTAGAAGTTGATAAGAAGCAAAAAAAAAGGGTATCGACAAAAGCTCCTCCAACCGTGCGTCTATCATACACGTGCAGATGGGATAGAAGAGTATCAAAGACGACTGATTCCAGAAATATGAAGGTGATGGGTGTTATAACGAAAAGAAAGCCATAGACATGTACAAAATAATTAACAACTATTACACGTTAAATAGGGACCCAAGAACGAAAGAAACGGTGGGAGTTGGTTGGAAAGGGTGGCGCAAAGAGAAAGGAGAATTAAAGCCACGCCGAATATGTACTGGTTGGTGTCGTTTTTGTTTTGTTTGATATCGTACCCATCCGACGAGAGTGGGAAGAAAGTAAAGTAGCTCATCACTTCTCTCTATCCGGGGGGATATTCCTCCAGCTCCCATTCCCAAAGATCGAAAGAAATCCAACCGTGACCAAGATAACCCCCTCATAAAGTAAAGCGTGATATGAGATCCACATCGTTTCGGCGAATAGAACACATGACCGGATAACGAGTGACTGCTGGACTCCGTTCGTTCGTTTCTCCGCCTGCGCCAAAAAAAAAAGGAGTCGATACAAGTGATGAAAAAAAAGAAGTTCGTATGAAAAAGAATGGACAAACCCCCAGGGACTCGCGTGAAAAAGGTAATCCACCACAGCCATCACCTTTTTCCAACAGTCGAGTTCTTTAAGGAGCAGTCTCCTTCTCTTTCAATCCACCAATTCTATCCAGGTCGACTGATGCAAATCTTTCCTCCAATTTTTGTTGATATGGTGGAAGACCATCGTTTTCCAACGGACGAACAAATCCAACTCCAGCCTCACCAACCTCTACAACCACGACTCTGCCAGAGACTCTACGCCCTTGCTTATCCTCTTCTTCCGGGAATGTGATCCGGATTTCGGGAATACTCTCGGGTGTAAGAGGCATTGGTGATGAGGTATCGATCAGGTGTTGTTTCTCGGAGCATACAAGGACGGAGTCACGAGTAGAGATTGTAAGGCCACGGTGATTCTTGTTCGATGCTTCGTAAGAGGGAAGGGCACCAGCAACTTTGCGGCCTCTGCGAATGCGGCGGATGAAGAAGAGTGAGCCTCCAAGGGCCAAACCGAAGGAAACTAAAACGACTAGAACAATGAGGAGATGGGTCATGGTGTTATTCTCGTGGGTGCTCGGCGGGTGGCCGTCGTCACGGCGTGTAATGATAGCAGGCATCGCGAAAGGACGATATTATATTATTACTTGTTGTTTTTGTTGGCTCTCAGAATATCGTAAAACCAGCAAGCGAACAGGACTGAGGGTGCCAACAAACGGACAACCTATTTCTGGACGAGAGGGGCGGGGGTATTTTGTCGATTAAAGTAATGTACTAGTAATGATCGTGGCTGACTCAGCCGCTTAGCAATGTCTCATCAGCAAAAGCGACAACAAAAATTATAAGACAGGCACGTCATGAAGAGGGAAAATAGAATCAAGGGCGTAAAACGGAGAGGAAGCCAGCCAGCTGTGGGAAAACCAAGTTGTAACTGGGGTGTGGGGACAGGCAAAACGATTGTGCATGTATGGTGCAAAAAAGTTCAGCACAGTGAGATAAAGGCAAGAGGCAAGTCTAAACCCAGAATTTCGAATGAGGCGGAAGCGGACAACGCAGCTGGCCGATCCAGCTAACAACGCGCGGCGCGGCGGTTGAATAAATGAGGGGTATTAGCGGGGGGCTCACCACTTATAGGGCCGAATTGTGCGACTAAACAAACTTAACGAAGAGTGAGTGGAAACGAATACCGTGAGGTATCGAGAAGATACAGTGAACGTGAGATTATTCCTTGTTTCTATTTGTATACCGGTACCCGAGTAGAGTAGTAGAGAAAACAATTCAAAAAGACCAGCGAAAGAGTGAAGCCGGACAATTGGAATTGCTCGTCGAAAAGGAAAGAACGGCGGGGGGAGGATTAGGATAGGGAACCGAAGCAAGGGTGAAGAGGAAAAGAAGGGAAAAAGAGGAGAAAGAAGAAAGAACTCCAAAGGAGACCTAGGATGGAAAGATAACCCTTGGTCGATGGAAGAGACGAATATAGACCTCGGAAAGGGGTTTCTCGCGCCCACCTACCGCTAGGTTGGGGGCTGTAATTTCAGTAGAATCAGGGGTGCGAATACTTCTCTCTGGGTGTTCTTCCTCCTCGAGCACATTGTTTGGTAGGAAACTAACGGCGCTTTACCCAATTTGGGGTGAGAATACAAGTGTAAGACCGGTTGCTCTCTTCTCTAACTGCTTCGGGGTGTTTGCTCGTCTCGGTTCGACACTGTCAAATTTACCCATCTGTCTGACCATTCCTGATATGGCTGAGCACAGTACCCACATCATAAAAACAAAAGGGACGCTCGTCTGGCTCTCTCCCCACTCGATCCCGCAGACTAGAACTAGATTCTGTCCTGGAGATCCTTTGGTCGACTGACATTGTTCGGACCCCACCGAAATTCCTCTGAGCCATGGGAGAGACTCGAACTTCAGTGATGAACGTTAGAGGATCTATAAAAAAAATGAGTATGTACGCCCTTACCTATATACCAGTGGCACGGTAGAGTAAGGTGGGTATGATACTTATACTTGGACTCACTCGAACCCAAGGTGTTCTGCTGGCAGCACTCGTGCTCGAGTACACGTACAGGTATGATGTATGCCCTACCGGATGTGTGTATCAATCATGTTCGTCATCACCATCTCTGCTACCATACACCGGTACCGGTAACCTGTAGATGAGATTCTCCCTTTATACCCGGGATTAGCCACCGTTTCTCTCCTTTTCAACTTCTCCCTCTCTCCCTCCCTCCCTCACGCCCCTTGTTCGTCAATCGATTGAAGAGCAGATCCGGCAAATTCCAGATTCCCAGGGTTTCAGAAAGCACAGATAAAATAGGGGGGATCTTACGTGTGTGTGTGTACCGGTGCCAGTACCGGCACAGTTCTGGATGCAGGTATGACCCACTCTTCCCAACTATTTCCGATTCCAACGATGTTCTTGCCGAATCCAACCTATAACGCTGGAATATTCTAGCCGCTGTCAATCCAACCTTCCAACCATACACAAACGGTTGTGCATGAGAGGAACATCAAGAACTTAGGAATTAAAAGCCCACATTTCTAGAAAATGGCTTATGAAAGACCGAATGACTGACAGAAAATGATAGTTGGGGAGGATGGTTTGAGGGAATCGCTGGTGGGACAACCTTGCTATATGAGCCCTCCCGATAACGGGGTCCGCGATTGTCCAGAACTCTTTTACGTTGACATGGTCCCAAGCCTGAGTCGAATGACCAGAACCAGAGGCGGGGGCATCAGACAGCAGAGAAGAAGACCAAACATCAGACGACGAAAGAAGGGAGCGGCTCTCGGTATATTCTTAATCCCTTGTCGTCCAAAATACACGAATACTGTCAAACGTAGTCCCGCAGTTCTGCACACACACCCACGGATGCTGCATCACCCAGACTCGTCACGGCGTTGGCTGCGGAAAGTTACAGACAGGCTGCTTTCGGCAAACACTCTATTATTCTCAAAAAATGATCAGCCACTTTCCCATGTTCGACTTCGTGATAGTGCAGCAATTGCGTTTTTATAAGACATACCTGGTTCCCGAAGGCAATTAAAGAAGGGGAAGGAACTTTTAGGAGGCCTTGTTTCCTCGCATCTCGGGTAGTCGTCACCACTTTATCGTGTTGAAGCATCGATAATGGCCGAAATTTTCGATTTCACGGAGAGATGACTACATGCGAACTTCATATCAATGACGAAAGGACGCGCAAGATGCCTATTTACTCACATAAAAATTTGAGTGAATGGCGGTAACCCGGGGCGGAAAGAAAGTGAGCAAATCGGACCGCTTCAAAAGGAATAGGGGAGCGTGACGCATCGTGTTCCATGTAACCCCCCTTTTCGTTCCCCTCCCCTTTATCTCGGCTTCTCATTTGGGCAGGATTAACACCTTTCTTTATTATTGAAGGCCAAGATGGGCCGGCAGATGCTATCTTACACGAACTCCCCGTGTTCGTGCATACCGGTACGCTTACTAGCTGACCTGGTGGATCAATCGAAAAGAACAGACCTCAGCTCGTGGTTGGAAGGAGCAAGAGGTGACGGCAGATATGTTTACTCTCTGATCCCGCTTGTTTGGCCCAAATTCCCTGTCTCGGGCGCAGGATCCTATCCCGTGCCTTGTTCGAATCATCGTCCACCTGTGCCATAGTATGTGCTGGATCTGCTAGTGCGGGGGCCCGCGACATCACATACATACAGGTATTGTTTCTCATTCGGCCTAGGTGGATAATTAATCTAATTTATCTATTTATTTCTATGCTGTTATGAAATTTGTCAACTCACCAATCCCCTTGAGAATAGTATGCTTTAGGAGTAGCTTACGTGCGTGGGCGTTCCTGAGAGAGGGTCAATGAGCTATGGAGTAGTGATTCCCAAAGGGGAACAGATCAAGATGGTCTGGGTTTCCCAAAAACTGACAATGGTCTCATCCTGAGGTTACTGGTATTCGATAGCTGAGACGGACCATCTGAACCTTTTTGGCCGAGAAACGAGGCCGTATCATGAGCGAGATATTGGAGCAACTTAAATGCCAAGTAAGGGCGAGATGCGGAGTCACGCCGCACACCTAGCTATTGGCACGCTTTGCTGGAAACATCTTGGGCATGCAAATGGCCAAAATGGAACGAGCAGGGAGAGCATCGAGGCACTACCCGGAGCCCAAACCAGCTCGGATAAGCACATCAACTTGGGGTAAAAAAAACCCGGATACCTAGCTTCAGAATTTCATTCACCTCCAATCACTCCCTTCAATCACTGGTGTTTCGGCTGCCGGGCAAAGGTTTTGGTTGGCGGAAAGACACCGACCAGAAAAGAGTGTTCCATCTTGACCGGGGTCGGCATTGACACGAGCGGGCTAACCCTGCCGAGCTATGGGTTTGTGCACAGTACCGGTACTGGTACTCGCACAGTACAGGAGATCAAAGATCGCCAGCAACATACCGGTATTGCGCATGCAAGGGGACAATTCAAAATTAACGGACCTTACACTCAGAGGTCCTGTTGTGAATAAACATGCTCGCGCAGCCAAGTACCATATCCTCAGAAAAGTTCACAATTCTACTGTCGAAATCTAGTTGCCATTGTAAGACATGATGCTGGTTTTACGATACCGGTATATCAAGTTTTTTCAGGACGCGACCATTTTGGTCCGGTTAATGCGGGCTTCCGGCACCAATATGGTGCTGTGCAAGTGCTAGCACAGTACAAGTGCTTGTACATGGTCATGGTGACAGAAGCTCCATGATAGATCTTCTTGTTTCTTATTTTTCCCATATTATCTCGAGAAAAGCCGAAATTCATCACGAGTCGTTGATCATATTTGGAGAACTCCAACCAAAATCATTTCTGGGGCGCCAACATGCGAAGCACCGCCGGGGAACCGGATCCGCGATTTGCATGTTACGGTAAGCGGTCCGCTTCTTTGGGGGACTCTAGGAAAACGTGATTGGGGTCTGGACCCAGCCCCAAAAACTTCGTTGTCAAAGGACAGTGCGTGTATGACACTGCCACCTTTTTATTTACTTTTTCTCACTGTTTTTCCCTCATTTTTTACCTTACTTTTCAAGGGTTCCAACAAAATGTCTGGATGGAACGATGGGACAAAAAGTGAAGAAGCAGATAACGAATTCCACGGCATAGCGAGGGCCAGGAATATCAAGCCATCTGCAAGCCCGGGCAAAGCGATTGGTTGAGCTTCAGTTGGAATTTGAATAGTGGCTGGTGTTTGGGTGGATGGCTTCAATGACCGTCTCTGTTTTCTCGCTTGACTTTGGGTTCACTGGGCTGAATGTAAAAATATTCATAGCATTTACCGTAGACTACCGTACTCCTACCGGTACTCCTACCATTCGCTTGCCTCCCATGTGGCAACCGCCACTCTTCCCCTGGTTTACTACTCTCTAAATGGCTAACATATTTCTACCTTGTAGTTCCCTCGGGTCCCTCTAAATTTACCGTAGCTCCCCCGCCAATGCAAAAACAAAGGGATGAGGCTCCCCTGTGCGACATGTGTGTCGGTCGAACCTTACTTAGGAGGATCCCCGGTTCTGAAATCTTGATTCTCGTTAAAGCGCGTCGGGGGTGGCTGACTTGGTGGCGTTATAACGGCAGATGGGTTGTGTCTGCGGATGCGTGCGCACCCAAAACTTGGCACATTGGCCTAAGGAAATTTTGATACCGCTTGGGAATAGTAAAAAAATTCGCCCCCCTCCTTCCTACGGCACATAAGACCCCCGCAAAGCCATTGAGAGGCTCTTAAGGGACCCCCCCTCGTCTGGAGGACAGCGCAATGAAAAGCTCTCCAAATCGCAATCATCTCGCCTTTCGGTTAATCTCTCAGCGCAAGCTCTTTTCCTACACCCAACCCTCTGGGCCGGTGTGCGAGAGGTACCGGTACAATACTCGTACTGGTATGGTGCTCGAGTACGAGTACGGTAGTCTGATATGATACCGTCGCATTCATAGAGCCACAATCACCCTCTTACCCTTTTCTTTTTTCTGGTAATAAAAGCCACCGGACCTATTGCGCTAAGCACAACTCCATTGAGTTCGACAAGAGGGGTAAATGGAATTTGACACTCCCACCATCTTCAGTCCTGTGAGCGGAGGAGGTGCGCAAGTGGGGAAAATGTTGGAGGGGGGCGTTAGGCCTTGCGCACTGACCTACAACAGTACGTACTCGAGTACTGTAGAGTACAAGTACGAGTAGTAATGCAGAGCTGGACGAATGCTACTTGTACTCGAGTAAGGTTTTCTCGGCTGGTGTAACACACGACCTTCGCCAAGTTGACTTTTTGCGGAGCTGTCCGTCCTGATCGGGCGGGTTTTTTTTTTCGATGCAACCAGGGGTCGTGGGCCTTACAGGACTGGCGGGAAGGATGGGCCCATCGTTTCTCGAACTTGCGGTAGATCTTCAGCCGTACTTTGCAACCTCGATCTTCCCATTTGAAGAAACATTTTCCTTAGCAATAGCCTCATGCCGTAGTCCATCTAAAGCACGTAGCCAGTGAGTTTCTGAGAAAGAGGCGATTCTAATTTTGATCAGGAAGAAAAGTAGACCCGGGTAAAACAGCTGGGGCTTTCTCGCATATGATACCTGTTTTTTTTTTTTTTTTTTTTTTTTTTTTTCTTTTCCTTTTTTTTCCGGAAGCACCGGTAGGGGTTTTCTCCTATGATACCGGTAAGTGGGAAACACGAATGCAACGATGGCATAGGTTTGTTTGGCGGAAACAATCATCTTTCCTGTCCTCCAACACTTTTCCATTTGGGATAGAACGGTCGGCTTTTGTGAGCTGGACCGAATTGTCTTTTACCTACCGGTAACCCAGCGCCATTCGTTATTTCTATTTGTTTACGCTTATTTATTTATTTATTAAATTTTAAATTTTTGTTTTTTATGTGTAAACAAGATGCGAGAAAAGTAGATATCGAAAGTTTCGGCGCGCCGGGCATCATGCCATGCGAAGCAGTGTGGTAGCGAGGGAGGGGCAGGTAAAATGGTTGTGGACTCTTGTCAAAAATGCTTACACTACGACGTTGGAGCAGCGAGGAGTCATACTTCCACACCACTTGACACGTAGGCGAAGGCACAGCGCATAAACCTTCACCAGCCGCCTTCTGGTGGAGAAGGGATATCGTGATAATAAACCTGCGCGTTCCCCCTTGATTGTGGGATCCCTTGATCTTTGTTTGATGAGCATGGAATATCTCGACGCTAAGATCTATAGTGCTGTCAGAACGTACGGCCTTGGCTATTCCTGTATCATACTCGAGTAGGCCTCATGGTGCGACTGTCAAGGGATAAGGAACTCTCCCGTAAACATACGACGCGAAAAGCGAGGAGAAGGAAAGGGGAGATAGGGCGATCGATAGATTGAGTGCATTCTAATTTATGTCGATGTCGTTGGGGGGCATGAGTATGAGTATGAGTATGATGAGTATGAAGTGTTTGGAGTAAGAAGTACCGTTACCGTACTGTACTCGTACAGTTATGTATCATAGGTAAATAGTATGTTCCAGCCCAGTGCGTTTTTGTTACTCCTCACTACCGCCCTAAAATTTTGAGGTGCCCTCATAGTGGGTGCGAATATTCCTGTATTTATTCGGCAGTGGGGGGGCTATTGCGCTCCTTGCCTTTCTTTATGAGGGGGGGGGTCTTAAGCACACAAAGTGCTAGTGAGTGGGATAAAGTTACCGGTCCTTGCTGATGCTGGTCTTTTCCTCCTCCCGATATATGATACGTTCGGCTTCTTTACCTCCCGTATTCTGACATAACGCTTCTTCTCCTTCTCCTTCTCCGCTGTAACCTTTTTTTTTTGAGAGGTTCTTCTCCCTAGCTAGCGTTGTAAAGTGGACCTCAAGTTCATCGCGCTGGGTGCCGGAGCCGGGGCCGGTAGTTGTCTCTGATGTCTCCTGGCCCAAGCTTGCTATTTTGTGTTCCATTCATTGATATACAGAGTGAGCGTGAGTCAGGGTTCCTCTGGCTTCTATAAATTTCTCAATCTGCCAGGTCTGCAAATCGCCAATTCAGCCCAGCAAAAAAAAAGGCACGACCGGCCCAACTTAACATAACCGTTCGCTCCCAGCAAAAGCCCCCAGCAGCCCACATCAGTTTTGGCGGTTCTCCCCCCCCCCGCACTTCTTTCTTACTCACCGTCGGCAACCCAGCATTGAGAGGCTAATAGGATCTACCGTTTCCCTTTTTTCCTCCCTTCCATCCCTTCAATATTTTTTTCTCTTTTTTATTATCCATTTCTACTATTACGGGTATTTTTTATTTTTATTTTTTCCCTCCCCTTTTCTAGGTGCGTACCGTAGGTCCTCCCGTCAAAAAAAAAAAAAAAAAAAAAAAAAAGGAAAGAAAAGAAAAAGAGGAAGAAGAAGAAGAAGGAAAAGAAGAAAAAGAAAGTCCCGCAAACTCTCCTTCCCGTCGGTCATCGTTCTCTTGTGTCAGAACGCAGCACGGACGGGACGTGACCGACCGCCTACCTTAAGTGAGTGCGCGAAACAACCGAAAGAGTGATAAAAGCGCTCTACTGCTCCTGCAACGGCGTAGGAGGGACAAAAACAGGCGGCAGTGAGAGAGAGTGTGAGTGTCCGAGTGAGAAGAGTGAAGTCAAGTGAAGTGAAGTCAAGTGAAGTGAGCGCTTGTTGTGCGTGTGTGTGTGGTGTGTGGTGTGTGAAGCGTGTGCAAGAGGTGCAAGGCTAGACACATTGAGCAAGAGAAGGTGTGCAAAA